ATGATGGTCGTCTGCACAACCGTCAAGTCAGCAGTCTTCCCCATGATTCTGAAGCCTACTAAGCCAGACTGAGACAATTTCAAGGCTGAGGAAACCTTTGCAGGTGTTTTGCATTAATTAGCTGACTAGATTGGGACACAGGGAGCCTACAATGTTGAACTTACTTTCTAAGTGGCAGGGCCCAGACTGTCAAGATTGACAATTGGACTTTATCCAGCTTTATTACAAACATTGGCACCCCACAGGGATGTGTTCTCAGTCCCATCCTCTACACCCTGTTCACCCACGACTGTGTCACCTCCAACAAAGACAACATCTTCCTAAAGTTGATGGACGACACCACAGTGATAGGTCGCATCACTGGCGAGGACGAAGCAGCCTACAGGAGGGAGGTGGCCAGTTTGGTGTCATGGTGCAGGGACAATAATCTCAGCCTCAACACGGTCAAGACAAAGGAGATGAAAGTGGACATGAGGAAGGAGAGGAGATCTCATCGGCCACTGTTCATCCGGGGGTTTGAAGTGGAGATGGTGAGCAGCTTCAAATACCTGGGCATCCACATCAGTGAGGACCTCACCTGGACACTTAACACCACACAGCTGGTCAAGAAGGCCCAATGGTGGCTGTACTTCCTGAGGAGGCTGAGGAGGATTGGCATGTCGCCTAGGATCCATTGCAACTTGTCCAGCTGCGTTGTCGAGATCATCTTGAGCAGCTGCATCACTGTCTGGTATGGCAGCACTACAGGTATGTGCCAAAAAATTAGAATATCGAGGAAAAGTCCATTTATTTCAATAATTTGTTTCAAAAAGTGAAACTTATATGTTATATTAGTTCTCTACACACAAAGTGAAATATTTCAAGCCTTTATTTGTTTCAATTTTGATGATTATAGATTAAAGACAAAAAAAAACCAAATCCAGTATTCCACAAAATTAGAATATTTCATGTGACCAATAAAAAAAAGGATCTTAAACACATGTTGGCCTTCTGAAAAGTGTGTTAATGTACTGTATTATGTCCTCAGTACTTTGTTGGGCCTCCTTTTGCACTAATTACTGCATCAAGGCGGCGTGGCATGGAGGCGATCAGCCTTTGACACAGTTGAGGTGTTATGGTAGCCCAAGTTGCTTTGATATTGGCCTTCAGCTTGTCTGCATTTCGGGGTCTGTGTTCCCTCATCTTCCTCTTGACAATACACCAGAGATTTTCAATGGGGTTTAAGTCAGGTCAGTTTGCCGGCCAATCAAGTACAGTTATTCCATGGCTATTAAACCA